ACCACATAGACTTGGCTGGCTTTAGCCTGTCTCTTTGGACCTTAACTTTTTGAGCTCCTGGCGTGTAATGCTTTAGTGTTTTGGGTTTGCGGTGTTATACTACTGTTGATACTAAAAATCCTGCGTGGCCTTAGTATACTAAAGTACCACTATCCCCAAGGTTTAGAGTATTTAGGGTCATGCAGGATTTTTAGTATCCCTCGCAGGGAGACGAAAAGTTCAACTTGTAGGCAGAGCCCTAGAGTCAGCCAAGTAAACATCTTGAGCATGAGGTTGGTTTAGGGTTTAGGGCTTAGGGTTCCCTTCATGGGACTTTGCTACGCATTTAGCACTTCAACACATTTGCGGTTCCTCTTTTTGCAATAGCAAGCTGCACATCTTAGTTTCAAGTGTCGGGTTAGTTAAAGAGCGACCAAGATTCCTGCACCCTAACACCTAGGCCCTGAAACCTAAACCCGTAACCTTAAAACCCAAACCTACACCCCTAAAACGTAAACCCATACATAGCCGTAAACCCTTATCCCACTAGTCGACAGTGAAACCCCCTCAACCCTCTAACCCCCTCCACCCTAAACCCCCCCCAAGCCCCACCCCTAAACCGTAAACCTCCGAAGGCTCCTAAGCCCTCTAAGTCTAAACCCTAGACCCCTAAGCCACCCTAAACCCTGAACCCTAAACCCTAAACTGTCCCAGGTTTCTGGTGTTGTCCTCTTCGGCCGTTGCGCTGAGGGTTGGCGAGCTGCTCACGCTTGCGGAGGATTTCTGGATCTGGGTGACAGGGCTTGGGATTTAGGGCTTCGGGCTTGGGGTTCAAGGCTCAGAGTCAGAAACCCTAAACCCTAAACCCTGTTCAGGGTTCAGGACTTAGGGTCTAGGGTTGATCCTTGCTGGTTTTTCCCCAGCCAATGGCGGCTTCTAAAAATAGAAGCCTTTTGGGGGAGTCCCTGTAGTTAAAAGCAGGCTCTAGGGTTTTGGGTTTATTCAAGTCCGTATGGTAAGCCCGTTCTGCCCTGGGTTCTATATTGGTTCCTTAGAAAACTAGGTTATTCTACAGGGGGGGGGCCATGTTTTGTGTCAGGTTATTGGGGGATCCCAGCCAGGGATCCTTCATATTCACACTCGGCTCCTTCTGACCTAGCTCGTAGGTCGTAGGACTAACCTTTTTTGGGTGTCCTAGGTTTGGGTTTAGGGTTTAGGGGAGAGGGTGGCTAACAGAGTGTTTAGTTGCAGGAGTGGTCCTGCATTCAGCTTTCATCTGGGTTGCTGTTAAGGAACTTAATTTAAGTTACTATATTGAGGAAACCCTATAAGTTACTATATATACCCATTATGGTCACTTAATTTAAGTTCCTTAACAGCAACCCAGTCATGCTTGTTGTAGCATGGTCGTCCGCAGAGTTGGAAAGGCCCCAGGACTAAGGGCCAATTCACAGGTCAATGGTTTTGACCTTGATTTTAGGGTTTAGGGTTTAGGGTTTAGGGTTAATGGTTTTGACCTGGATTTTAGATTGAACCACAGACTCAAACCCCTGAACACTTAACCCTACATCTCTAAGCCATTAGCCTCAAACTCGTGCAGCCCCGAAACCGCTAATCCCTGTAACCCCTATGACCCCTGACGCCGAATTCCTAAACCCCCAGGAAGCAAATCACTAAGCACAAGAACCGCCATGGCTGTAACCCAGAATACCTAAACCCCAAACCTCTAAAACCTAAACCCCGAAGTCCCTAAAACCCTGAACCCCTAAACCCTAAACCCCTCAACCCTAAACCCAGTGTGGGCGTGGAGGACTTCATCTTCTACCAAGGTCCGAAGCGGAAAGGCTCCTCGGCAGGACAAACTTGAGGCCCCCATGTCGGGGACGCTGGATGCTTTGACCTCCGAACCCCTATTCCTATAGTTTTACATAATATGATATATTATAAGATAGTATAGTTTCATCCCTATATAACCCCAGTATATCTAACCAGCCCTCAACCGAGGAGGCCCCAAGGGAGGCTCCAAAGGCATGGAGCGCAAGGACGCAGGCCGCAGCGTGCTGGAGGAGGAGGCCAGGACCAGGGGTCTTCACAGTGCAGATTGTGCGATCAACCCCCAATCTTCCCCATATAACCCCAATATGTACCCTATTCTTGTATAGTAGTTTCCATTTTCTTTTCCATCATCCACCCCAATACTCCCCATGTAACCCCAATATGTACCCTATTATGATTATAGTAGTTTCCATTCGCTTTAGCATTATCCCTACTACAGGGACCCCCGTTAGAACATCAAGCTCATCAGGAACGTCTACTTATGAGGTGGGAGTCCCTCAAAGCAGCTTCTATAGAATGCTCGGGGCACGGATGTGTATCGTCTCTCCTCTGAAGATTTCAGAAAATTTCTACGCATCCCTTGGATCCCACGGGCACTTGCTTTCGAGATGCCCCCATTTTAAATGCATGTGGATGCTTGTGTGCATGTATTCTACGCGGGTGTCGAGACAAAGCTAGGTTTCAGGGTTTTGAAACTTGGGCACCGACCGCGGTGCCCTTGATTTGAGTTCATCATGAGACCCGCTTGGGACTCATACTTTGGCTTTGGAACCCTCCGAGTGCTCTCACAGTCGGCCTTTGATGCACCCAGTGTGATTTGGAGTTTGAGCAGCAGTACAGGCTGACTTGCTAAGCTATTGGCCCACGTGAGTGGATTGGGTCTTCTCATATGGAAGACAACAGAGCTTCCAATGATATGGGGGTTTCCCAACATGATGGGTACCTTTTTGGGGGTCCCTATAATTAGACAGGACTATCGTATTTTGGGGTCTGTATTGGGGTCTCCCTGTTCAGGGACATTCTGATAGCCCTTATGCTGTTGTAAGTTAGGCTTTGGGCAGGTCCACACTCCTATACAAGCATATTCTACATGGCTTTATGGATGGCCAAAACCCACTGTCTACTGGCGGTTGGTAGGGAATGAAGGGTCTACCAAGATTCTTCTATGATTAGGACATTTTATCGAGAATGCTACACGGATCCATTTCCTCAAGTCCCGACTAAGAACCAGTAAGACTGGCCAACAGGTGGAACGGCATGAAGCCGACACTTACGGGCCGGGTCTTTGAATCACGAGTGAGAGCTGGATCCTGAAGGCGAAGGCATCCCATCTCCGCGGTGACGTGCTTACTGTGTTTAGAGGTTTCAGCGTGTCAGAGAATGCAGAGAGGTGGAATTTCCGTCTTGGCGTAGCCACTTGCATCACTTCAAAATAAAGGAATGTGACAGGTCTCTCGCCAGGCGCCTCCTGGCCCGGATGTTGTGCTGGTTGAAGTATGGAAGCTGCCACATGGTGGAGTCTTCCTGACTTTCCTCGCCTTCAAGGCACTGTGGGTGCTAGCAGTCCCGGCTGTTGCTAGTCAGCTAGTCACGAAGTTTCGTGGTGGATGGGTGCCCAGAGCATTGGAAATCCAAGCAGTGACTAAAAGCAAGACTGTCGCATGGCTTTTTTCCAGCACTTACAAGGCACTCGCTTGCGTTGATGCAAAGTGACCGCCCCTGCAAGTTGTGAGAGAAGCCTACTTAGGGGAGAGTAAAATTGCCAAGAAGATGTGAGTAACATCCATATAACCCCAAGCCTAAAACCTGAAACCCAAGACAGGGACATGCCCCTAAAAACAGCATAGGAAAAACTCTGATGGTCGTGGCAGGTAGTGTGTGAACAGGGGGGAGGTTTCGCATGCAAAATGGGAAGATTGCAGAGTCCTTTTAAGTGCAGCTTCCCCAAGATAGCATTATATTATGATCCTTATGTTAGAGACCCCCCGCCCTCCCCCACCCACCCCCCCCAAAAAAGGTGCCTTTCAATTGTGTGGGTCCCCTTTTGCCAATTGCTCATGCATCACGAGGTAGCATCTAGGAATGTACAAACAAAGACGTAGTACTATTGGGATTGGCCGGGGCCGTCTTGCTTTTGGGATTGCCTTTTTTTTTTTTCTTTTTTTCGTGCGTCTCGGAAAGGATAACTCTTGAATTCCAGAGGTTTGAACTCTAGGTCCGGTTAGTAAACAGTGGGGGTTATGTTAGTAAACAGTGGGACACGAAGAGCGCCCAACATTATGCTTATGGTAATGTCGAATATTCCTTGCCTTGTCTAGCCTTTCGCACGCCTTGGGCAGGTCGAAGCCAAAGAGCGAAGAGCTGGGACAGACTTGGTGAGGTTTCGGAGAGGCGGAGGCTTGCTACCAGGACATGGAAGGCATCACCAGCCAGTGAGCAGACGGAGGTTCGTGCGAAACCCTGAGCACCTGAAAGTAAGGAAATCGTCTGAGATAGAATCTTTTCATATTCCGGAGTGCCTGCCACGCAGAGCTGCAACCTGAGTGACTGAACAGAGAAGACTGTACTCCGGACATCATGCGAGTCCAGTTTCCATTGCACATTCCATTTTCTTTCCATATGATTCTCCAGGAGTAGGATCATGTCCTTATAGCCCCGTATACAACTGTAGCAGCATGATGTGTGCATGGTTCATCTCCGAGATGGAGGAGTTTTCAACTGCTGCCATTCCAGCACTGATATTAAAGCATATTCTAGTGTTTTATCAGACAGGATAATACATTATAGTATGTTCTAGTCTAGTATACTATAGTAGACCAGGGGTACATACGGCGCTGACGTCTAGGCTGTACTCGCTAGCCCAGCATAACTTTAGCAGAGGCCGTGAGGGAAGAGCAGACAACGGTCTGGAATTCAAGGAGATGTCCTCAGAGCTTTTGCGAGGGGAACCTTTGCATCTGCTCCATTTGGCGCATGAGTTTTCCAACCCAAGGGTTGCGATTTTCAGCTTTGCAAAGCAAAATCGCGTCTGAAAAGGCTGCTAGTATGTCGTCAGCACACAGGCTCCAACTTCGCCCCCCCAAACTGGAGCACAACATGTCTTTCATCTATCATCTGAGCCTCTCAATGTCTCATGGAGCCTCTAGGTATTTCCTGAAATTGAGATCTCCCAACCCCAAAGCGAGGAGCGGTCGCTGGAGGTCCGGGCGCAGATGGCGCAGCCGCCAGAGTGGCCACTCAGCTGTCAAGCTGGGAAGGGCAAAACATGGACACCTTATAACGACCTCACCCGACCGCATTCCAAATAGTGCTTCACATAGAAGCAGTCCCGAATTGGCTTAGTCTTGGGTACTGAAGTTATAAATGGCCAGTTCTAAAAGAACGGCCTGGAACTTTTGCCTTTGCTTGCAAACCTTGGCCCTTGACCCTTAGCATTTGAAGCCCACATCTGAAGCCCGAAGCTACAGACTGTTGCGGGTGTTCTTCAATAACTGCAGTACTATTACCAATACAGGCCTACAATATTATCCTTGCAGCCCCCGAATGCACGCAAGGCCCCTAAGGATACCGTGAACCGCAAGCCCCAACCCCAAACCCTAAACATTAAACTCCAAATCCTAAACCCCAAACCCTAAACCCCAAACCTGAAGCTCCATCTTGAGAACCACTCGGTTAGGTTGGAGGTTCGTCCTCTGCAGCTGCGCCTTCGCCTTGACGGCCGAAAATGGCGCTGCGATCTGCCAGAGCGAGTGCTGCCGGAGGCCAATGGCGGAAGGTGAAGGAGTGGCTGGATTTAGGGGCTTAGGGGCTTAGGGGTCTAGGGGTTTGGGGTTTTAGGGTTTAGGGGTTTAGGGTTTTAGGGGTTTAGGGATTTAGGGTTTTAGGGGCTTAGGGTTTAGGGTTTTAGGGGTTTAGGGTTTTAGGGGTTTAAGGGGTTTAGGGTTTAAGGGGTTTGGGATTTTAGGGTCTGTCTGTTTTTGACATATAGGGGACATATAGGGGATGTAGTGGGATAATGAAAAGAAGATGGAAAAACTATTTAGTTTTAGGGTTTGGGATTTAGTCTAGGGTTCTAGGGTAGGGTTTTGGGTTTGGGGTTAACATGCTGACGAAGTTTGGGGGGCAGGTTGAAGGTGTTGTCAAGGTCCTACGAGTCTCCGCGGACATGTGCCTGTTGTTGGGGCGAGGTAACAGGCGGCCAGCCGCCCAGGCAGCCACGAGACCCCCCTTGTTGCACCCATCGAGCCCTGCGATAACACAACGTCGGGGAAGTCCCTTCTTTCCTCGTGTGGGATCTTCTTGCAACCAATGCAGACAGGGATTGGTCTCAAGTAAGCAGGGATACACTTATTGATGCATGATGCTATGCACTGGGAGCGTCACGTTGGTAGGGCATGATACTCTAGCCAGTTTGATCTACAGCTCACATGCACAGGCTCCCTTGAATCGTGCCGTGTGCCCAGGCCTGCATTCAGCCCCAAACCCTAAGCCTGTTGCCGTCTGGGGAGCGGCCGAGGAATACGTACAGTGTCGTACAGCAACAGTGTAGTAATCCGGGGTTATCGGGGATGGGGGGTTGATTATCCTGGGAGGGGATCAAGCAGATTACATCTTGGTGCAGTCAGCTGAAGTTGTTTTTGGCATCGTCACAAATCAGTGATGTTGCAAATGCAGTCCTCCTATGCCTATCGCTTGCAAAGGAGATGAAATGAGGAGCGAGAGTCTGTCACCAAACCAAGGGGGTGAGGGGCTTTTCCAACACGTGGATTTACTTCCTGACTCTCCCTGGCAAAAGCCATGCGCATGAAACTCATGATCATCATAGGAACCACACTACAGCAGGTAACGACCACGGCCATACTGGAGTTTGCACGCAAATTGATTCAAAGCTCTGAAGGCGATCTTAGTGGTCCTGATGCACTCATGCCAGTCTTTTTTTCAGAGAGCCACCCCCCCGTTTTAGCTTCTCACCGTGGCGACACCAAGGTACAGAAAATGCAACAGCACGCTGGTACCCGCCTAAGGCCGGTGTGCGGACCATTTGGGTAATCGGTAACTCCCAAAGCTAGGATCCCATTTTGGTAACCCTGAATACTAGGTGCCGTAGATAATCTATAGCCAAAGCGGGCCCCTAATTTTCGGAACTACCCATTTGTTGGCTTAGTGGCGGCAGGTGAGTCAGTTCTGTGCCCTTCACGTTGCTTGTGCTAGACTTTTGCAAGGCGCAGTTTTTTGATGTATTCTCGATTGTTTCCCAAGCCCAACCCTCAACCCTAGGAGACCCTACCAACCCTGAGACCTTCCCCTCAACCCCGAACTTAGTCCTACATTTCAAGCCCTTTCCATTGCACTTTCCATGTGATTCTCCATCATTGGGGATCATATGCCTACATGGTCTAGTTATATAAATTTGCATCCCCAATAAATCCACATATATATATACATATATGTATGCGTGTGTCCCATCTACCCGCCTCTCTCTCTCTCTCTCTCTCTCGCTCTCTCTCTCTCTCGCTCTCTCTCTCTCTCTATATGCCTTTTCCCCACCCTGTACCTACCATTTTCGCTAAACCTTACAGAAGCACTTTTAGAATTTGATGAGAGGAAATTCCAGAATCCTTGATTCTTTGGTTTGGGATTTCCATAGGATTCTGGTGTAACTGAATTCCTTCCAAATTCTAATTGGAAACACTGCAGGAATCCTCGATTCCTGGAGCCACCGTATATATACACATATATATATAAGTATATATAATTAAAATAAATAAATAAATAAATAAATAATATATATATATATATCAGTACTAGCCACCCAGGTTGTCGCGCTTCGCCGCCCCTTTGCCTCCAGCACCTGGCAGCTCTTCGAGGCTCATGGGCCCATGGGAGCTTCAGAACGTGTCTCTCGGGCTCTGCCCCCACTCGTTGCTTGAGGGCTTCAGGGTTTTAGGGTTTTGGGGTACTGCCCCCACCCATTCACAGCTGGATGATATGTATATATATATACACATATATATTTATACTATAGCTCTATATAGTTTCAGGGTTTTAGGGTCTTCGGCTTTGTTTTGGGTACTGCCCTGACTCGTTGATCTAGGGTTTCAGGGTTTAGGGTCCGTGTCTACCCTCAACCCGAAACCATATCATCCTGACAACCAGCTGAAAGTATGATTCTACCAGGGGAACCCTAGACCCTAAATCCCAAACCCTGAATCCTAAACCCTAAGCCCGAAATCCAAAACCCAGGGACTTTTGAGCCTTGGGGCTGTTGGGTTGAGGTGAGTTGGGGTTATATGGTTTAGGGTTTAGGGCTTGAGGTCGGGGTCGTTTGAGCTTTTGATTTTTCAGTTAAGGCGCAATTTTGGCTTGGGAATTCAAGGCTTTGGGCTGCGGGGTACATGCTTCGGGGTGTGGACTTTAGGTTCTGGGGTCTATAGGACTATAAGGGTTGAGTTCGGTCTTTGATGTCTTGGAGCTTGATGCTTGGAGAAGATTTGTGTTTGGGGTTTTGTTCACGGTTTAGGCCATGGGATTTGCAGCGTAGAGTTGAAAGCCTGGTCTTTTTCCAGGGGCTTGGGCTCGTGGTTAAATCAAGATTTTAAGATTTCAAGGTCAGGGTTTGAGGTGTGTGGTTTTCGGGAGTTACGCAGTTACGTAGACATTGCAGTGCAGGTATCGGCATTAGCTCTACACGAAGACTTCTGTTTCTGATTGCCCGCGCATCTGATGGACCGAATTCTTTAAGGAAGGTGGGTGTACTTTGAGACAAGGTAGTTTCCCTAAATAGGAGGACCCCAACATGGACCCCAATATACTATAAGCTTTATCATGGAGACCCCCGAAAAGGGTACCCCTAATTTTGGGAATCCCCCAAGTCATGTGGATATTTTGGACAGTTTTTCCACCATCCGCTAGCCCGTTGCACTTCAACTCGATTCCGGCCTGCACCTTCTCGTTTACGTGAGCCCATGGAAGCCACATGCAGGGACATGATACCAGTAGGGCCTGCATCATATACGCCAGAAGAGACCCCACTCAAGGACCCGTGATTTTGACGGTCCCTTGATATTCATAATATATTTAAATGTATGCGCTACTATGTGGCATTATGGTATTTCCGACACCATGCCTTTGTATGCCCGAAGGCCGTGTGGCGACTCTAAGAAGCCAATGTGGGATGAAACGTATATCACCCAACTCCAAGGACCTTCCAAATTTATCCCTAACATCGACCCGACAAGGAGTTAATATACTGTAGCTAAGTAACCATAACCAAACAGTTTCTGAAAATAGTCCCTGTAGAATCGCTAATGAGGACCCTGAAATCCCCTTAAGCTCCGCATGGATCTCCTCCCCACGGTCCCCTTGTCTTGAGCGACTCTCAAGCCAGCCACTGCAGAGGATTGTGACCGCCAGTTCGCGGCTATGCAGAAGGAGGCATGATTTGGGGTTAAGGGTTTGGTGGACCGCCCACCCAGTAATAGTGACTATTATGGATTCCATGGATACTAAGGATTATATTAGGGTCCTCTTATAGCCCTATTATACCACTATTACAGGGTGGGGGGTCCTCCTAAGTTAAGGGTTTGGTGGACTCAGCATTTCTGAGTTGGTCTTTATTGTTCATAACTTCAATTTTTAAGTTTTTGGTGCGCCTTTGGGGCTGTTGGAGCCGTGGCCAACGGGATTACGTAGATTATCATTTGGGAATATATGCCGGTCCCCAAGGTTTGGAGGCTAGAAAGAAGCTCCCATCGGCATCACCGTGACAGTTGTTTGGCATCAGTATGGCAATCTAGGCATCACTGTCGTTCTGCATTCTGAATTCTGAAGCTAAACCCTAAATAGTAGTTTCCATTTTCTTTTCCATTATCCCTATATAACCCACATATAGGGTTTCTGCCGCAAGTCGTGCTGCAACGGCTAGTCGTGGAAGCCTGCCGGTGGTGGGGAACAGATTGGGTCGTCCTCCGGAAGTGGCCAGATGGGTTCTCTGAGATTTGCCAACATGGCTTGAGTGGGGCAACCGTTCTACACACCATTACAAGCCCCTGCGTAACATAACCTCAGTTTGCAATATTTTGCAATTAGTTTTCCATTTTCTTTACCATCTTGTTCTCCATCGTTGGGGGTACTGTCCCTAAACCCCGCAATTCCCGTATAACCCCTATCTAGTCCCTGTGCAACACATACATTTGATATATGTATACATGTATATCGTTTTTTCCAGTGCTTATTCTCAGTACAATGCAAGCGAAGCTCCCGTATGGTTTTCCGGAAGGGACATACCCTTTCTCTGCGCACTATTGTAGCGAGGATTCCTTTGCTCGTGCTGAGAGGAAGGGGTCTAGATTTCGATTCCCGAGCCGAACGCGTAGTTGGATGTGTGGTGTGGACAAACAAACTTTGCACTATAGTACACTGGTGTGGTATAAATAGGGATGATGAACATGGAAACTACTATAGCCAATAAGCAGCAGACCTTCTTGATCCCACCACCCATGCCTGCTCGACCACATTCCGATGTGCAACTACAAGTCGGCCTTTGCCCAAATCATGGTTTGAAAATGTTTGGAAGCCGCATGCTCCTCCTACCATAACAGGACGCGTGTCTTACTGATGGTTAGTAGGGAACAAGGGACCCCGGGAACAGAATCCCTATATACTCCCTACATAATAGATTCCCTTGTTCCCTATACTGACCACCCATATGGTGTTGTAGTGGCTGCGCCAGGCACAGCGAGTCTTGGGCGACATGGTAGACAAGGACGTGCAGATCACGGGCGAGGCCTTCGCCAGTCAGGGCTCTGAGGGTTCGGCTCCCCGTGGGTGATCCCAAGACCTTGTAACTTACTGGGAGCTAGTCGGGAATCAGAGAGTATTGCAGTATATAGATATAGAGGCTATATAGGGAGTCTAGTTCAATCTTCCCTGCTAACCACCGTGAGGGTAAAGCTCTAAATCCTAAATCGTCTGTATTGAAGGCTCAACACCAAACTTTGAGCCCATTCCAATCCCCTCCCCTGGTATTAAACCTCCCCCATCCCCCCCCCCCAATATGAAACATTCCCATTTAGTGTGAATATTTAGGATCAGGGGGAATGGGGGGTTTAATGATAGGGGGAAAGGATTACCCAACCCTGGGTCCTGAAGTGGCTTCAAAACCTGGAATCCTGTGCAGACATCCCTGTTCTTCTGCTCTATTCCATAAGTAGGGGGACCCCAACATCGACCCCCAAAATATTCTCATCCTTGTTATAGGGACCCCCAAAGAGGTGCCCCTAATTTTGGGAAACCTCTATGTGTTTTTTCCTGCTCTACAGGTGGATGGCCTCAGGAGTGTGGACGTCACAGTCAGCGACCAGGGTGTGTCCATCGACTTTGCGTGCCCTGGCCGCGAATCGGATCGTCCACGCGGTAGCCCCGCTGGAGTCATGGATCATATGAGCCATAGTCTAAACTCCTAAAAGGGGGTTATATGGGGGATTATATAGGGGAATATTATAGGGGCTAGTAAGGGGGATACTAGGAGTTTAGACAATGGCTCATATGATTGATTGAGCGGATCTTCTACTAACTATGAACCCCAAAGATTTCGGTAGTCCCCAGGTGGTGTAAGCTTTCTGTGATGAGAAGTGCCACCATCTTGCACCTGATCCGTCTTGAAAACATAGAAACAGAACACCCTTGTCAACCTACACGGCCACCATGGCATAGCAGGCGGTGGACAACATGGTGTAAAGTCGATCCAGAGTCCAGAGCTGAAGCTTGAACCGAGAGATCTCCTTGGAATCTCTGATTTCAAGGTATGAGATGACAAACGCAGATGCAGTCTGCTCCAAATGTGCATTAGTAATGACTTTAGCAGTTGTGTCGGGTAACAGTGTCGTCAATCCCCTCCAGACTGCATGGCAACACCGTGGACATCTGAGGCCACCCGATGACCAACAGAGTGAGAAGCCACTCGTTGTGCTGGCAGATGGGAAGGACGGCTGCTCGGAGTGTTTTTTCCAATGCTCCCTGCCAGATACGCTGCAGGAGGAAGAGTTTTTACCCTGGTCCGAGGAGGTGGATCTTGCAATACCTTGTGATTTGGTCAGTTCGAGTGCGCAGTGACCACATGCTGGCAAGGTGACTACTTACTACTTATCCTGTACGACTTGGCACATGCTGAATGCGTCGGTTTATAAGGATCAACAGGCACATTTAGTGAGAAACAGGTGTGTGTGTGTATATACATAATATGTATATGTATATGTATATGTGAGGGTGTATGGGCGTGTAATGCTTTGTGCTGCTTGAATCACCACTGTACAGGTGCAGCCTTGCTCGTCGACGGAGGAAGAAGATGAAGCTGGCTCAGGCAGGCTGCAGCAAGTGATCTTTAAATTCGGCCTGTGAGGCTATAGTCTACACTCCTCAAAGGGGTTTCATAGGGGAATATACAGGGTTTTGGGTTTAGGGGCTATAGTCTAAACTCCTTAAAGGGGGTTTTATAGGGGATTTTATTGATAGCGCACCCTGGATACGTGGCGTTTAGACTAAAGCTTGGGTACTGCCCCCCCTCAGTAACAGTTGCATAATAATTATAGTATGGTTATATATAGCCCTTAATAGGACCCCTCATATAGACTATTACTGGGAGGGGGCAGTACCCAAACTAAAGCTCATGTGGGTCTCTCACTAGCAGGAAGTGGCTGGGTGAGAGCGGCGGCCAGGATCCGGAGGCCGCAGCCGCGGTTTACTCATCCCTATTACTATTCTCACTTTTGTTATTAGAACCCCAATATACTATAGTAGTTTCCATGTTCTTTTCAATTATCCCTATATGACCCCAAGATACTATAATGCTACTATTCTCACTTTTGTTACTAGAACCCCAATATACGATAGTAGTTTCCATGTTCTTTTCCATTATGCCTATATAACCCCAAGATATTATAACATTACCAGTAGTACCGTAATTACCAATATTATCACTGTTAAAATCCAGCCCCAAACCCTAAACCCTAACTTACTTTACCATTATTACTATTATTGCTCTTATCACTATTATTACTATCATTACTCTTATTGTTATTATTAGTATTCGTATTATTATTATTATTATTGCTACTACTACTACTATTATTTTTATTACTACTACTGTTGATGGATGAAATCTTGCACCACCTAGAGGCCCTAAACTATTGTAAGTCCTAGGACTCTAGGGAC